ACTTTTACCAAATGCTTTTATTCTTATTTATTATAATATACTCTTTTCTACCATAGTAAGGATTTGAAATGATAATTTTTGCCTTTTCTACCATGATAACTATTGGAAAATCTTTTATTTACTATAGTAGTGGTTTAAAGATATACTTTACTTCTAATTGCTATGATAGGCACTCTTCAATCATAGAAAGTGTTTAAACAAGTTATATTTGAAATAAATTGTCTTTTAATGAATTAAAAACTGGTTTATAATTAAGGGATGTTATAGCTCTTACATTATGAAGAGGGGTTACTTGCAACTCTGCAAATCTAGGTCAGTAGTATTTGATGAATCTTTTTGAAATTTTCTTTGAAAAATCACCCTACCTCATAAACAACTTTATTTGGAGTAGTTGTTACATTGTGCACTTCCAATTGGAGATATCCTTAGACATCATCATTTAGATGTTCATTCACATTGTGCGTTTCATTGTGTGGAATCAAAATCTTTAACCCATCTTTTTGGGAGTTATCATTATGTTAAATCAATTTGGTTTGGTGCTTTGCCTATTCATTAATCTAAGATAGTGGCTGTCGGTTTTTCTACTTGCCTTGTCACAACTCTTACCAAGTTACATAAGGATGGTTTGGATTTTCAGCTTAGAAGTCTTATTATCTTTTTTGAACTTGTATGGCGAAAAAGAAATCTTGCATTTCATAAAGGAATTATTTGTCTCCCAAAAGAAGTGATTAAGGAATTTCAACAATTGTGCTATTATCTTTTGGAGGTTTATGCTTGGCCTGTTATTGACAAAAGGAATAATAATGCTTCAAGAGTTTGTGATTCTATTATGATGTGGACTAGATTTCCTTTTGTAAATCCTCAACAGATTTGTAACATAAGGATGAAAAAATTCAAGCAGTAGCATCTTTTGCATTGTTATAGTCTTCATCAATTTTGAGTTCACGTGAAGCTTCATTTGGAAATGGTTTTCTTTCACTGAGCTAAATTGTTTTAATCTTTAAATGAGGTATCCATTCACTATGATCTTTCCTTTCAATGTTATCGAAGGAAATTATTCCACTGCCTTCTTCTGAAGCACTGCTCTCTTTTATTATTGGTGCAAGATATTCATATGCTTGCTAACTTCTTTATTTCTATTTCTTTCACCTCTTGTTTGAATGGGAAGAAAAGTTGAAAGGGAAGAAAATGAAGAGAAGAAAAGACTGAAAAGAAAAATTATCTCTTATTATGTTTGAATGAAGAGAAAAAAATAAAAAGAAAAGAAAATGAACAAATATTACAATGACTATAGTACTCTTGTGTTAAAATATATCAAATTCGATATAATTTTCTCTACACAAATAAATTGAAGGAAAAATTGTATTAAAATTAATTTCATCAAAATAATTTAAAATCAAATTATTTATAAAAAAATGTATTTTCATGTTATTATATTTACAAAACAAATAATTTAATAAAAAATATATTATTTTTTCTATTTAAAAAAATAAAAGTGAGTAATTTATTAAATTTAAATATAGTAATATAAATAAAAAATTATAAACTCATTTTACAAAACTAGAATTCAATAACAAAAGAGAAAAGAGAAATAAAACTAGATTTACACACCAATTGGTGTTAATGTTGCTTTTTTGTTTTTTTTTTTTATTTTGGGTAAGAAAGGAGGCTAACCCCCCCCAAAAGAAAAAACTAATAACAACCTATAGCACATCCAATATCAACAAAAATAAAATCTCTTAGGTTATGTTTGGTACATTAAAATTGGGTCCAAAAGAAATAGAATTAGAATTGGAATCATGCTTTCAATGGTTTGGTGTGCATGAATTTAAATTCTTTATGGACTTCAATTCTATCAAAATACCCAGAATTCAATTCCACCTCTATTATGATGGAATTGCCACAACTTCATAGAATTGTCATAAGTGCCCCACTCTCTCTCTCTCTCTCTCTCTCTCTCTCTGCTTGACACCCTACCCTTTACCTTTCACCTTTGCTGACCCTGCACCTTTGCTGTCAACCCAACAACGTCTTGGCCAGACGACTACCTTCCTCCGACTAAGACCTTGGCAAGACAGCCACCTTCCTCCGACTAAGACCTTGGCAACATCTTGACCATACGGCTGCTCATCGTTGTTTCTCCTACTTTTAAAAGCATCTCAGCCATCATCAAATCCGGGTCTTAATGTTGCAGCCTTATCAGCCTTCATCCCTCTATGTTGATAAACTCTTCCCCTTCCCCCTCTCATCATCTCATCCACATTTCTCATAACTCAGCAAACAATTGAGTAGTTATCACAGACTCTACAATTAGTTCGATTATTGTTGAGGCTGTGATTGTGGAGGAAGTTTCTTGATTTGGTCCTTCAGATTCGATCCTTGAGTCAAACAAGCAGTATAAATTGAACTTAAGAGGGAAGATGAAATTAAAGGCACATGTTCATTCTTCAAATATGCAATTTGATGGTGTGTGTTAATGGAGTTTTTTAAAATTGATGTTATGTTTCAAATGGTGATGGCTGAGTTTTTGTTTTTATTTTTTATAAAGCATTTTAGTCTTTATCTATTTTAAATACATATATTTATTAATATTACATTTAGATTCTATCTTCATACCAAACATACATTTATAATTCAATTCTATTTCGATTCCAATTCCAATTTCATTTTTGATTCCATCAAAAACTCTTTCATCATACCAAACAAGGCCTTAGTAACAAAGGAGCTACATGCCAAACCATTAAATCATCCAACCAAATGCCAAACCTAGCCAATGTATCAGCACATTAGTTACTTTGCCGACAAACCACCTTTACCTTTACTTCCCGATCTCTTTTTAACCACCCACATATCCTCCTTACCAATTTGCTACCATCCTTCTTCTCTATCTGCAAAATTTGTTTAAATAAATTTTCTGCATCAGTTTCAACTTCTAGTTTCTTTATTCCCATAATCTAGGCCAAATCAAGACCATAAACCATCCCCTAAGCCTCAGCCACCTCAGCATTGCACTAGCCAACCTTCCTCATAAATCCAGCCACTCACTTCCCTTCATGATCCCAATAACACCCCTACACCTAGCAAGCCCAGGATTGCCCCTTGAAGCTTCTTAGTATTTAATTTCACCCATCCTACCAAAGGTCATACCCACCTCCGATATATCCTCACCCCTACTACATCTCCTCAATTCTAATTGTAGACTACTTTTAGCAGCTTCATTCACTGCCATATCTAATATACACCATCTAGCATTGAGCACACTCTTCTTTCTACTGCTATTAAACAAAACATTGTTCCTTTCCTTCCATAGAATCCAACAACCAACCCCAAAAATAACATGCCATTCAACCCCCTTGCACCCTCCTACCCTTATTACTCAAATTCAATTCAAGCCAGTCGATCAACTGCAAGTCGAAAAAAAAAAACCCCACCACTACTCACATTAGTTAAAGATTGCCACACCTCCTTGACACCCTTACAATCCCAAAGAGCATGTAAAGCAGATTCAACAAGATCACAATCAGCACAATTAATAGGAGCTCCAAACCTCTTATGCCTCAACTCCCTTGTGTGTAGCCTGTCGGCATTAATGTGGCTTTGTCCTATCATCACTAAGGAATGGAATTAGATAGACTGGAGAAATTGAAGAAAACAAAGAGGCCAACCAATGAAATCAAATGCAAAATTGTTGAAGAAGAAGAATTGGATTTGAGGAAGAAAAGTGATGCTGCCGTGAGGAACAACAAGCTTGGGAGGAAGAGATGAGTCTCCAGCAGAAGGGCAAGAACAAAAATGCGTGGACAGCTGAAGGTGGAACAAAAATTTTATTATCAAAATTTCTCCACTTGTGAAAAAATAATAATTTGATGAGTCTCATATTTTATTTTCTTTCACTTTTCCTTTCTCACCCAAACAAAAAGAAGGTTAGTTTCTCTTTTGTTTACTCTTCATGGTAGCATTAATGTTTCTCAGAACTGAAGGCTCTTTAATCCTCCTTTCCCCTTATAATTATTGCACACTTATATATTGTAAACTTGTTTCTTTTTATTAATTAATCTTTTTATATATAAAAAAATGTTTGTTCAAAAGATTTGTCATCGTAAATGGGAAGATTGATATTTTTGCACCTATGACACTAAAATTTTGAGTCTTTACCATATTTTAATAAATTTACAATACTCATTCATGAATAAGTCCTTTATTTAGAACTTATTCATATTTCTTAATTAAATAAATTTTATAATATTAATATTATCAAAATTAATCATTTTATTTTATGTTAGAAAATTCAAAACTGTGTGTTAAAAGTGCTGGTCAACGTGTATATTTAAATAATTATTCTGATTAGAATAAAGTTAAATTAGATGTCATTATGACTAGTGATTTAGGATTAATAAAATTAACAGGATGCACATGTAAAACAAGCTTTAGTTTTAGTTGGGGTTTGTATTAGTGTTTTATTTTAATAATGATATTTAGAGAAAATTAATCATTTCACCACTATAGTTTTAATATGATCATAATTCAGACTCTAAACTTTAATTTGTTAGAACTCATTCTCTATAATTTTGACTCATTGAAACTATGTCCTTATATATTAACTAAATAACTCAATTTCTATAGTTTTAGTGGTTTAAAATGTTATTTTCTAAACTTCAACAAATAATTTTTGTTCTTGTAATTTTACTTTTTAAAATATATAGATCAATATAGTAAAATTATAGGGATTGTGTTGTACTAAGTTTGGTTGAGTTTTAATCAAGTTAAAACAGTAAAATTTGAATTACATCAAATCAAAATTGGAACTATTGAGTTTTAACTAATAATCAAAATTGGAATAAATAATTAATTTTTTTCTAATGTTTAAATAAATAAACCAGCTTTATTTTTTGGCCAAAATAAATAAATAAATAAATGAACCAGCTTAAATATCACGTAATGCGCATGAACACGAAAACATGTCCGGTTATTACAAAATACAAATACAAAGCGGAGCCGTGCTTTCTTCTTGCTTTCTCTTCGGATACCATTTCCGTAATACCCTCTCACTTCTGCCGAACCATCGTCGTCTTGCTTTTTCCGCTTTGATCATCTGATTTTTCATCTTCGGCTTCTTTCCGCATCTGAGTACCATAAGGTATCCGTTATGTTTTTGAGGAAGCTCGTCACTTTTCACTGAATATTTCATTGCTCTTTAATGAATAGAGGTCATTTTGAAAAAAGGGTTTTACTGTGATACTCACTTTGAATAGAGGAATGATTTTTCATATTTACTTTCCCAATGTATAATTAGTTAAAAGAGATTTCTCAGAGAAAATTTATTGAAAACGTAGAGGCTAATCAACCAAGCTGGACTTTCTGCCTGAAAATGGAAAGGAAATGAAATAAAAGTTTCAGTGAGTTTAATAGACTACTTTTTATGGTCAATGGAAGCGTTAGAATGAACAAAATTGGCTTTCCGGCAATTAGATTCTAGCTTCCTGATGTTAAGGTTACTTTACACACACTTTACTTTCATGTCCAAGGCTTTTCTTTACTTTGAGTCTTTTGTGAGCTTGGCATTCACCTCCGAAGGAGGGGGGTTGTTAAATGGCATTCTTGGCTATTTTTTTTACTCCATCAATGACAACTTATTTCATAATTGATTTCACTTCATTTACAACTTTGTGCATTGACGTCATTAGAATATGAAGATAAAGTGTGTAATGATTTTTGATAGCTGGTTTGGATCTAAGTAGGAAAGTCAATAATTTCCACTTATTACTTTTGTATTGACTTATTTGCATGCACCATTCCCTTTTACATGTTTCCTTATAAAGTCTGATTAAATTCATTGTTCTTGTTTGGGACTTGAGTTAATTTAGATCTGATAGGTGCCGACAATTAGAAACAACACTTGGTGAATCCACCAGTTATGGATACAATTGATTGGAGAGATGAATTGCAACCTCACTCCCGCAGAAGAGCTGTCAAATCAATGTAGGCATATATTTCATTGTATATAACCTCTACAATCTTTATAGTTTTTTCTTTGATGCTGCAGTTGCTCTGAAATGGAAACTGCCATCAAATTTCCCTGGTTTCTCATATAAAATTATTTCGATCATACAATATGTATGCATGCAAAACGAAGGAGCTAGCTATAGTAGACTCATGCAATTGTGTACGATTGCCCAGCTTTTACCCTTCACTTGGATGGGTAGAAAAATAGGGAGGAAAGGAAAGGAAACTAGCAGGAAAAACTCCCAAAAATAGTAAAAAAATTTACTACTTTTAGAAAATTTTGTTTCTAGTTTTCTCTCCTTATTTTCTTCCTACTTTTGCTTCCATCCAAACCAAGCCCTAACTCTATTGCTTAATTCCCTATATGGATATGATTCAATGGTGGTTAATATTTGTTAGGAAAGTATAGAATTGGTCATTGGCAGCATCTTTTTGTGTAATCCAAATCACAATTTGCTTTCTGTGTATCTTTCAAATAAAAACTAAAAGAAAAGAGAAAATTGAAGTTACATATTGATCATGTATTTGAGGTGTAGTGATTATAGCTCTTTAGTCAGTAGCTCACTGCAATGGAACCTGATGTTATGCCACTTGTCTAGCATGACTGCTTTCTTGTAGTTCTGTTGTAGAAATGCCATAGGAGCTCCTGTGGGCCTGTAACTTGCAATATCCCTTGACTCATTCTTGGACAACCAAATATTTCATGATTCAGTATTCGTTAATGATATCTTGAGAACAAGAAAGGATCTATATTTTCCCGCACTCTTGATATAGGCGAAGAACAAATGAAACCTTAGAAGATGAAGAGAAGATTGAAGGATGGCTTATTGATGATCAGTATGGGGATTTTGTATTTCATGAGGAAGAGGAACTGGTTCACATATATCAGGATAAAGCTTAACCTCAAAAATCATGCCAAACATTTTCGCAAGTCAGGTACTTAGTATGATAATTAATGGATGATTATCATGTTTTTTGTGATGTTTGTTGTTGCTGTTATCATTCTAGCGGTTTATATGCATATATATATATATATATATATTAGTCACGACCAATTATATTTTGAATTTTTGGAAATTGTCCACTGCATGAACAGGAATGCAGAATGCTAAGTGCTATGTCCTATATGCTACGGCATATTGGAGCCTTTATTTTTACTTGAGGACTACTTAATGTCCTCAGTCCTCACCTTCTTGTTGAATTGTGGAAGAATTGTTGTTTTGATTTAGTAGAATGGATGCAGTAAAGGAATTTCACAATTTTGATGATGAGGATGAACTGCAAGAACTTGAAAAATTTTCTCTAAGTTTTGAGCAAAAGGCTTTTGCTGGTGCAACTAGCAGAGTATGCTGCTCGAAGTTCAAATCTCAAAGTTACTGGGAAAAATCACAACTAAGAAAGGAGTCTTGGAGAAATGTATTCACTGTTGAAGATCAATGAATTCTGACTTAACACTACAATTCCTGAAATCCTAACTGTCACACCCTACACTTTCAAAATGTGATCGGGCTAGAATATAAGGAAAGCTCATATTCTATGAGCCCAAACCCAAAAAAAAAAAAAAACTTGTAACATTTTAATTATCCAATCTAATCACATAATCATCATTTGTATTTAGCAAGTACTAATAGTAACAAAATATTCAAGCATTGCTATAGAAATTTTGGCAAAGTTTCCTTGTAAGTTAGACTACTTGAATCTCTACAAACTGTTAAAAAGAATATCCAAGCAGTAGTGTATATATATGTGGAACACTGTATTTTGTTCAGACATTTTTTAAATTTAACAAAAATAAAATAAATTCAACCAAAAAATATAAAAATATGAAAATAAAATTTAATCCTTTTTAGAATTATATTTTCAAACAAAAATCTCTAATTAATTGGGTTTAATTTTATTGTAGGTATTTTTTTTTGATTAGTATTTTAGTTCAAAAGAAAAAAAACAAAAAAATATAAAAATATGAAAAATAAATTTAATCCTTTTTAAAATTATATTTTTAAAAAATATTTATTTGATCCAAAATCAAATTTTTAAGTCCCTTAATCCAATTTCAAAAATTAATAAACATAATTAAAAAAGAGTTATTAAAATTAAAACATGTAAACTCAGTTTGGTCCTTCGTGTGTCATGCACATTCCTGCACAAAGAAGAAA